CGAATCCGAACCCTGGAGAACCGCTGTCGTGGGAACCCCCTGGGGACCCCGCACGCGTCCACATCCACCGCATCCCGAGGTCCAGGCAGACGGGAAGTCCACCGAGACCTGCCCGTCTTCCGCGCCACTGTGTGCTCCTCGTTGTCGCAGGCCGTTTGCCCGCTGGTCTGGCCGACCCCGCCACGGCTGGCCCAAAGCGCGGACTCGATGAGGGCGAGATTGCTGTTGCCGAGAACGGTTCGACAAAGGCCAACAGCATGGCCAGGTCTGAGAACTAGCCTGTGGTGGCGGCTCGTAATGATTGATGGGACACCCTGGTGTTTACTTCGTCCAAGAAACAAACGTGCACATTTAGAGGGGAAAAAAACAGCGCTTGGCAGAAGCGCGAAACCGAACGGCAACAACAACGCCAGCATCTCATACATCGCGCGCACAACGCAACAGGCCATCAAACATTCAACAACATGTAATTTGCGACGACGGCAAGCCCAACACAGCTCAAATCGTCCACTTGATTCATGATAACTCATATTACCCATGGCCCGTTCTACCCATCATCCTTGTCTTGTCCCCCTACCATCAACCCCTTCATTCGCCTTGCGTTTCTCATCCCCATCTGTCTTCTACAACGCGTCGTTCGCGTTCCTGCCCCTCTTCATTCCGCAAATGGACCCATCCCCATATTCGTCCTTTTCCTCCTCCTCGTCCTCCTCATCCTCCTCACCATCATCATCAGCATCATCATCAGCAGCACCATCAGCACCACAATCCCCATCATCACCATCACCATCGTCACCATCATGAACATCAATCGTATCCATCGTTCTCCTCTTCCTCCTCCCCCTCCTCCGTCTTCTCTCCCTAGTAAATTCGATTCAAACGTCTGGCGTGCGGACCCCCTCTTTGCCACGAGGGGTGCGTCGCGCATGCGTCGCCACTAGGTTGCCCGTGCGTCTTGGCGGGCACCCCCGAGGCGGATCGCCCGCGCGCCGCCCGTTCGACGGCCGCAAGAAAGGACTGTCGCCTTCGGGACAAGGCACGTCGCACTCGCAAAAGCTCCCCCTGGTGAGGGGGTGGTTGCTGGGCGACGTCGGCAGATGAGCCAATCCCTCCCAAAAAACTGTAGCGCCGCCGCGATGCTGCTGAGCGAACTCCGGCCAACAGGTCCCCGCAGCCGCCGCCACAGCCACAACGACCGCCGACAGCACCATGACTACCACCGCCACGATCATCGCCGCCATCACGACCGACACCCGCACGATCACCAACGGGACCACCACCAACCCGCCAAACACCACCAGCGCAACCACCACCAACACGACCACCGCGACGATGGCAAAGCACGATGACTCCAGCCAAAGCAATTGCGACACAGCCGGCGTTAAAACTGTTAAAGCAGTTTGCGCCCAAACCGACGTTAAAGCTAATAAAAAAGCATGCGCCCACTTCTACCTCAACATTACTGGTGCTATCTATCCCCCCAAATGTCAGCGCGCAAGAGACACCGCGGGACTGTATCGGCCACGCGGCCGGGACAGGCAAGCGTTACCCGTGACAACTATTGCCCGGGCATGTGTCCAAGACTGGCGCGACAAGGTTAACGACGAATGGCATCACATTCAGAAATTCGCACACAGATGCCCAGGAGGAGGAGGAGGAAGAGGAGGGAGCGCGGACGAGCAGGAGGACAAGGACGAAGAACACGCCCAAGCAGAAACTCGCGCGTGCGTAGGCCGACCCAGGTAGACGGCACCCGCACAGAAACCCTCGCGAGCACGAGCAATACAAAGGGGGAGGAAGGAAGGAGGGGAGGAGGAAGGAGAAGGGAGGAGGGAGGAAACCGAATTCGCCAGCGGTGCAAATAGATATCAGCCTGGGTGACCCCAGCAAGGCCGGCCCGAGTCCTACCACGTAGGGGCGGGACTCGGCAGAGTGGGCGCACCTTTCGGGTGGCAGCCAATAAAAAAAGGGGAAGGAGAAGAGGACCAGGGGAAGCGGAGAACTCCGGCTGCTCACAGAGCTCACCGCCTGCCTGGCCTCTATGACAGAACGTGGGATTTTGGGCGAAAGATGAAGCAGATTCCAAAACTACCTCCAACATGCTGACATGTAGTCCAAACAGATGCCCGGACTATGGTTTGGCTATTTTTGCATATTCCCCCTGTAGATGGGACAGGCCCGACTTGAAGCCTCGAGCCCCCCCGTCCTCCTCTCTTTGCCTCCTCCTTGCCAAACGGCAATCCCCAGAGCTGAAGTCGCTCTGTGAGGGGCGTGTCACTTGGGAGGTCAGCCATGCTCGTCTCACGGCCCTGCGGAATCTCAAGGCCGACCGTCACCCGCGAACGGGGCTTCCCTGACGCGGTGACCCCACGCGGCTAGGGCAGCCGCGTGAGCGCAGGAGGAGGAGGAGGAGGAGGAGGAGGAGGAGGAGGAGGAGGGGGAGGAGGAGGAGGAGGAGGAGGAGGAGGGAGGAGGAGGAGGAGAGGGGAGGAGGAGGAGGAGGAGGAGGAGGGAGGAGGAGGAGGAGGAGGAGGGAGGAGAGGAGGAGGAACAGGAGTTCATTGGGCCTGCGTCTTCTCCTCCCTCTGCCTCCTCATTGCCCCCCTCCTCCTCCACCAGCGGGGACCTCCGCTGAGGGCGGGGGCCCCGCTCGCGGCCCCGCGCCGCGACCATGGGGGGGGGGCAGCCGAGGCAAGGGGGAAGCACATGAGGGGATGGCGAGGAACAGAGACGCGGAGAGAGGCATGGGGGAGGGAGGAGGAGGGAGGAGGGAGGAAAGGGGGGAGGGGGGACAAAAGAGAAAGAAAGGCAGAACAGGAGGGGATGGCGAGGAACAGAGACGCGCAGAGAGGCATGGGGGAGGGAGGAGGAGGGAGGAGGGAGGAAGGGGGGAAAAAAACGAAGAAGGGGAGGAACACGGGCAAGGTGCTGACTTCCCCGGCACAGCTGAGGACACCACCGCGCGCAAGCACGGCACGCCGACGGCCGTGGCGCACTTCAGTTCGGGGCAGAAGCAAAGCGCGCGGCGCGGAGAATGCGTCGCGCGTGCGTCGCGCGTGCGTCGCGTGGGTCGCTCGTGCGTCGTGCGCCGGCGGGGGTGCGTCGTGCGCGGGCCGGGATGTGTCGCGAGCGCGCCGCCCGGGCGTCGTGCGTATATCGCGCGCGCGTCGCTCGGGCCGTCTGTGATTCGTGCGGAGGTCGCGCGCAAATCGCCCGAAGGACGCGGTGAACCACTAACGGCATGTAAACAGCACGGCTCGCGAACGAAGCAAATCACGAATTCCCGCGACAATCACATAAGGAACGAGGCACGCACGCGAGAACTACGGACACGAGCAGACCACTAGACGACATGGAATTCAATTGGAAGCGCTCGGCGCAGCATTTGAGTATCGATCCATCGCCGCACCAACTTGGCGACGTCTCGCCCGCCGATGCATTGAGGGAAGGAACAATTATCTGCGAGCGAAGGGAGACATGCGAAGGAGAAGGCCTTCTCAGAAAGCAGCGGGATTTCTCAGAAGCCGCCCTCGCACTTTCTGAAAGGCTGTCTGCGTTTTCGGGGAAGGTTAGGAAAACTGCAGAAGGCAGGGGGACTTTCGAGCCTTCTGAGAAGGCCCGCCCCTTCTCACTTCCCCCCCCAGGCTCGCCGCCGGAAAAAGAGGAGAGCGAAGCCGGGGGGGGGGCGCGGGGAAGAGGAAAAAGAGGGGCGAGGAGGGGGCATGCGGGGACGTCGCAGCGGCGGCAGGGGGAGGCAATCGAGGCAGGAGGGCGGGACCGAGGAGGGCGGGAGCGAAGTTTCGGGATGGTGGACGGACAAGAGGGGGCGAGTACAGCAGGGGCTCGGCCACAAGAAACCTTCCACAAGAAGCCCAAACCTGAGACCCCAGGACGTCCATTGATTTCTGGTGAGGGAAAGCCACGCTTTCCATCGCAAAACCATTGGACCCCAAAAAACAAGGCATCCTGGAGGCAAGCAGGGAGTTTCTTCGCACGGGTTTCTACCGTAGGGAGGGAGAGAAGATGGCAGCCTGACGCAAACAAACTATGCATAATTCCGCACACGGGGCCAACCGGGCAGCGAGTTCGGCGAAGGGGGAGGAAGGAAGAGGGGGAAAGGCAAGAGGAGGCACGCGAACCGACATGGGAGGGTGGGGTGCAATGCGGCGGGGCGAGATGGCGCCGCGTCGCACTGCGCGACATGACAACCGCCATGGCGCGACGCGCAAACCCCCCAATCACCGCGACGCGACTCCGTCCTTAGTTTCGGCTGGCTTTCCCCGAGACGGCGCACTGGCAAATCATTTTACGCGCGGGTGGGAACCATGGCGCAGCGTCGGTGAAACATCGACTTACAATGCGCCACGAACGCACAGCTGGCTGCTGTTGCATCAGCGTCGGAAACAATTATGTCGCCAACGAAATCTGAAATCGCGGTATACGTCGCAAGTGTACTCTGGGAGGCCGGGATTAAGAACAGAAACGCACATCAGAGCCGGCGATCGGGCGCCGCACAGGCGACACACTGAGACAAATTAAGGACCTGACATTCAACTAGGCCGTTCATCAGCGTTTTCTTATTCGGCGTTTCGACACTGGGCGGAAGGGGGGGGACGGGGGGTCTGGAATTGTTACAGGGCGTCCATTATGGGGGGGACTCCACCTGCCCGAAACAGGCGCCCAAAGCAGCCAAGATCTACTCCATGGGGGGGGAAGGGGGGGGGGGGAGCGCGGGCCCGCGCCGATCGGCAAAACAACAAACACGAAAGCGATCACTTGGGCCTCCTCCCTCTTCTCATCGATTCCCCCTCCTTCCTCATCATCCTCATGTCATCCGTCGTGTTCCCCCTCCTGGCTGCTCCTCCTCGACCCCCTCAGTCCTCCTCATTCCCATCCTCCCCGTCCTCCCCAGTCCTCCTTGCAAGCATGCCCCTCTACGTCCTCCTGCTCTTCGGCCTGCCCGCCTGTCTGCGGTAAGGGGTGCTCTGGCAGCGCGGCGCCTCGCTGCGCGCACACCCGCTTCAAGTGGCACGTCAGCGCTGCCAGGCCGGACCGCCTGGAGCAGAGGACCAGGGCCTGTGCAGCTAGGGGGGTCGGTGCACGCCGGAGGGTTGATGTCAAAAACGCTGGGGGCGCCTGTCTTCCCTTTCCAGCTGCTCCGTGTCGGCCAACCAGAGCGAACAGAACAGAGAAACGGCAGCCCAAGCCAGAAACGAGCTGCAATCCACCACGGAACCGAGCCGAAAACGGCGCGAACGAGAAGCCCAAACCGGAAAAACAACGGACCCCTAAAAGGAGAAATGGGAGCAGGAGCAGGAGCAGCAGGGATGCGCTGCCTGGCAGCAGAGGCGATCACGAGGGGTGTGTGTTCGACTAAAGCTCCTGTCAGTCATGCTGGCAAGGCGATGCACGACAGGAGCCAGCGGCCTCGCTCGAAAGGAGTTTCCCGCGGGCGACGCGGGCGACACAGTGTACGGAGCGGACGCGCGCGGGAATGTCGAGCAACAGCTCTGGCCACGCAATGTGTGTGCTGGATGCAAGCTGGGGCGATTGGAGCGGACATCCCGGCCACAACGCCGGCACGTCGTTTGCAACGAATAGCTTGCAGCGTGCTTCGACTGAGACTTCTTCAAAATACGATGGCAACGCCATGCCGAGCGGGAGCAAATGCGATCTGAATCTGCCGCGATCTGAACTATGCGTAACCATGGAATCCTGCAGGCTGCGACACATCCGTGTGGAGTCCGAATCCCAAAGTTAGAAGCATTTCTGTGGATTCGAATGCATGCTATCTGGGCTCCCATGGATTCGAAATCATAAACTGAAGTACGACGAATATAGATGGAATCCGTTACTCCTGCTCTGATTGGGATTCCTGAAGAACTGATTGTGTCCAAACTATCCGGACGGACAATTGGAAGTTGAATAGACCCATGTAGCCTACACTAGACTCCAAAAAATCAGGCCCTTCCGGGTTTCTGCGGCCTTACTGGACTCCACTTGACGCCTGCGGACTCCAATGTCATACGCACGGCTCATTTCCGAAACTAGCGGATTCAGGGGGGCCGCGACGCAGCCCACCTTAACTCGGGCCTGTCCCTCTACAGGAGACCTATCCAAAAACGGTTCTAAACATAGTCTGGGAGCGATGTCACCGTTGCTTGACTATTTTGAAATCTTCTGTCGACTCTGAAGAAGGACATGCCCGACCTGTGCGGGCAATTTCTATATCCACATCCAGTGCGTCCTGGAGTTTCGGACTCTCTTCCCAAGACACACGAGGCGCACTGGATGTGGACCATAATCTGCCTCCCAAAGGCTCAATGTTTATATCCATATCCAGTGCGCCTTGGCCTTGCAGCGCCCCTTCCAAGAAAGTCCAAGACGCACTGGATATGGATACGGCAGGTTCGCGTCGTGACGACCCTGGCGTTGGTTCCTGACACCGCGCTGGATCGTTTAACCTTGAACGATCGGCCGTCTCCGCAACGTCCGATCGTTCAACATCGACCGATTCTGGGCCGCCGTCGGCGTTCAACGTTGAACGTCGGCGGCGGGGTCGCCGCTGGTCGACACGACGCGAACCTACCGTATAAATACTGCCCGCAACCTGAGCCTGCCTCGCCCTCGCCCCGGCGCCCGCGCCTGCACCTCGTGGCCGACGGCGCGCGGGAGGGGCGGAGGTCGGGCCGCACTGGGGCCCCCCTCGGGGACGGCAGGATCCCCGCCCGCGGAAAAGCAGCGGCTGCCGCGGAGCACGCGCGACTCCCCGTCGGGCGATGCCAGGGCTAGTCGGAGATGGACAGACCCCCCTTTAGTAAAACGTGGTTTAGTGAAAACGACCTGAGGCCCAAACCTGGAAGGCGCAAACCTGGAAAATAACGGCCACGGCGCCCTCTCGAGAACCGAAAATGGACAATTCACTAATCGACGTGTCACTGTTGGGGGTTCTGTCCACCCCCGAACTAGGTTGACTACCTACCAGACCACCCCAACCCAACCCGAAGATCCGAATTTCGGGTTGGGGGGGTATGGGTTCCATGCATGTTTTTTCGATGTTCCCCACCCCCCCCCCACTGGAAATGGAGGGCAAATTGAGGCCTTCGGGTTGGGTTGGGGTGATATGGTAGGTGGTGATAGGTGTGTTGGGACCCGGTTTGGTGACCTGTGCCGGGGACGCCCCCCCCCCGTCCCGTTCCACTCGCCGGCATTGCCGTCACCCGAAAAAAAGCACCAGCCACGGCAGACCTGGCTCAGCGATTCCAATCCATACTTGGGGCTTCGGGGCCCAGCCACTAGCGGGCTCCCCTGAACTGGGGTCCTGGCTATACCCGACCCTGACTTGGGCTTGCGCCATGACCTCAAACCTTCTACTTGAGTAGATCCACCCTTGCAAAGGTCTTGCAGCAGTGCTCCTCTCGCGCCCCTCCCGTGTCCCCTCCTCGCCTCGCGTGCGCACGTGCTCGCCTCCAGTGCACTTTGCACTGCCAGCGCTGTTGCCAGGCAAGTCACTCCGAGCGTGCAGGCTAGCTTTAGGTCCGGTGTGTCCTCCTATAGGCGGATTTTGGACGACAAATCAAAACTACTATTTCGACAATCCAACATATGAAAAACAACAAAATCGTCCCCAGACTATTGCTTGAATATGTGTGATCATTCCTCCTGTAGAGGGACAGGCCCGACCGACTTAAAGCTAGCTTTGAACGCGTTGCTGGCGGTGCCGCCAAGGAACTCCATCCAAGGACGTCCACTCAAAACGCGGGCCCGCGCGCGCGCACCCAACACACCGCCTCTAGAGCGAAGTCGCATGTTCTCTTCTAGCGCATCGGTCCGCTTTCTGAGGAGGAGGAGGAGGAGGAGGAGGAGGAGGAGGAAGCCTTCCTCCTCCTCCTCCTCCTCCTCCTCCGCACTTCTCGCTTCCCGCCAAAATAGAAAAAGCTCACTTCGACCGCGCCCGCCAGATCGATGCGCACATCGCATTGCCTGTGTCCAGGAGGAAGCACGCCAGCTCCCTTCTGGTGCACTTCGCGCTGCCCGCATTGTTCCCACATTGTTGCCAGTGTGCACACTGCGAGTCAGCCCGCTCGCGCCACCACGTACTTCGGACTACACGCTGATCGAAAAGGGAAATGAACTTGAGCGTCTAGGCTCGCTTCAAGTACACTTCGCACTGCTAGTGCTGTTGCGACTCGGTGGTCCTCATAGCGCGTGTTGGAGCCAACGTGTGCCTTCCCACAAAAGCCATTCGGTACGACGCAGGCGGTGTAATGAGGGCCGGCACGGGGTGCGTGCTATCGATGGAGCTGAGCGTGGTCAACACACGTCGGGCTGACGCACGTCCCGAGGCTCATCGAGCAACGAAACTCGCCTGTGGCGCGCATCGCGTAGCCCACGCCTTCGGAGGGAGGCCGACTCCGAGCCCAGCGCGCCCGCCCCTTCTGGAGCACCTGGCGCTGCTGGCGCCGCTGATTTGCCTTATGCCCAGGAGCGCGTTCCGAGCGGGCACGCTCAGAACCCCCCCGCGCAGCGCCTGGGAGGCGAGGTCGGCAAAGGCAACAATTCGAGTGGTTCCCGACTGTTCCTGTCGGTGGTCTCCGCGCTCGCCGGCGTGGTTGCTGTGAAGCTCACTCGGCCCGCTCTCGCCCGGCTTCCAGGGCAGCCGCGATCCGTCGCGTCGCCCGCGACCAGTTGCGGCGCGGCTATCGAGCAGCTCACGGGCTGACTGGACAGAGCGTCAGCTTCTTTGAGCAACCCTGTTCGGAGAATCCGGCTGAAGCTGATCGGCTGGTCGCAGATCCCAAGCAAGCGCACGACGAGAAAACACCAGTAGGGGGCCACATGCGAACCCTAATTACCCCTACCCCCCACGAGTTCTGAGGGGGAGGGTGGGGTTCACCTCGCTCGGGAGCTCCCGAACGAAGCGAACCCCACCCTCCCCCTCAGAAATCGTGGGGGGCAGGGGTAGGGTTCGCATGTGGCCCCCGAACCAGGCAGAACAGAGTGAGGATGATGGCGTGGAGGCGAAGGCAGGCGCCAGACGCGCGCACCCACGAGGGCCCAGAGAGCACCACGAGCCCTCCCGAGAAGGACCACGACCTCGGCCATAGCGGGCTCCCGGGAGGCTCCAGCGCGGGAGGCTCCAGCGCGGCACCTCCGTCGCCCAGGCGGCCCGGGCGGCCCGAGGGAGGGCCCGTCCTTCCCCCCGGGGGCTCCAGGTGGCTTCAAGAGATGGCCACGGAAAGGCGGACTGGAGTGTCGCAATCTGGCGGCCCCCAAGTCACGCTCCTCCTCCTCCTCCTCCTCATCATCATCATCAGCATCATCATCTTCCGCTTGGGATAAGCAGACGAGGAGGGGATAAAAAGAAGGAATGCACCCCTGCTGCGCGATCTTCCACGACGCAGTCACAGCGCACCCTGCGGCACACCCATTAAATCCGGCGAAGACCGCTACGGCGGGGCTTCAAAGCCCAAGCAGCACCATCGCATGTATGACAAACTGCATGCCCTCTTCATCATCAGCATCATCGCTGATATCCTGAGCCTTATCGGCATCGCTATCAGCAGCTTCATAGCCCTCCACATCGCCTTTCGGCTCACTTAGGAAGGCACCAACTATACACCAACACCGATCCTGGCCAGGATCGGTGTTGGTGTATAGTTGGTGCCCTCCGATCACTGGCCTCGGCCTGACACGTTCCCTCCCATTATCATCAGCCTCGATGTGTTGCTCCGCGTGCACGATCCTCCCTTACTGCTGCGCGTCCCGGCCTTCTCGTTATGCTTGATGACGTCTTCGGCGATCTCGAACAACTTTGGGGCCCAGCTCGCCATGTCATTGAGAACCTTCTCCTTGCAGCCTTTGCCGTTTCCACCCGCCCCTACCCCCCTCTTCCGTCCATCCCCCCTCCCCACACCGCCCCTAGCCGTTCCACCCCGCATCCAACCCGCACTTTCTCCATCCGCCCCTCCCTCGCCCCCCCCCCCCCCACTTCTCCCTTCCCAAGCAAAACCAACCAACAAACCAATACTGCTGGCCTCCATTCTTCACCCCTCCTCGCTCCCTTCATGCTCTGTACCTTCCCTTCCTTCCACCCCTTCCCTTTTGTCCCCCACGCCGCCAAAAACTCCTCTGTCTCTATCTCTCCTCCTCTGTCTGTCTCTATCTCTCATCCTTCTCGTCTTTGAAACAGCCTCTTCGAACACAAGCCGCATCCGTAGTCGCATCCTACACCTTTCCCTCCTCCGCCCCCCTCCTAGTGTTGCAGATGTCTCAACAATAGCTCCTCATTTATCCTCGTGCCTTCTTCTTCCTAATCCGTCCATATCCCTCGTCCTCTTCCTCCTCCTGACCCTTCACCGCACCTCCTCATAACTATTCCTGCTTCATCATCCCTCTTCCTCTTCCTTCATCCGCTCCTCCTCCACATCCGTCTTCCTTCGTTTGGCAACCAGCGAAACAGCCACCTTGAAACCTCATGGCTGTGACCATCCAGGGCGCACTTTCGTTACATTGCAGCGCACGGCTTGCCGCAAGATTCCATGCTCCAAACGTTACATTGCTGCGACTGCTGGGCTGGAGACCGCGAGAAATCATTGGGCATCGGGCAGTCGGAACGATATTGGGCAAAGCTCGCCGCTGGAAACAATACGTTTAGCAAATCACAAAATTGCCAATCATGAGATGCACCATGGTACCCGCCCGCTACGCAGAACACAAGTATCAACGCCCACGCGACAGTGCAGACAAAAATGTGCTGAGACGGGCGCCCCTGGATACCCAGGGAATCCCCTTCCGGGCGGATATATATATATATATATATATATATATATATATATATGACCCCTACGAACTAATTACCCATCCCGGCCCTTTCCTTCATCCTCCTCTTCCACCTTCCTCGGGTAAGCAGGATACGGGAGAAACAGGCGTGGCAAGTGTGAAAAACGAGGACGGGACGGGAGCCTCGATTGTCTGTGGAGGACGAGGCGTAAAGGAGAGGGAAGGGGGGGGGGAGGTGGGGGAGTGACATGTAGGATGGGAGCGAAACCGGGGGGAGGTGGGTGCAGGAAATGACGGAGGAGAAGGGGGAGGGATAATCAAGAGCGCATTGCAACAGACACACGATGCGGGTGTACCCACCGCGGCCTCCAGAGACGTCATAGCCAGCAGAGGGGTCGGTCGAGACCAGGAGTAGAAGAAGACGAAACAGACTGGTCATCGTCACACAAGATCCACGCACTCACGAGTGGGAGAGAGACAGAAGGTCACACGAAGACGTCTTGCTTTCAAACGCTCCACAGCCCGCCGGAACCCAGCATCGCGAGTCCAGAAACGCTAGATACCCTGCGGTATACAAAAACAAATTGAAATTACACTGAGCTCTACGGACAACAAGCGGAAGCAACACCCAAAACTGCAAACAGGCAAGTGCACACGATTGAGGGGGCGATAGGGGGGGGGGATGGGTGGGAGGGAGGGGACAAGGGAAGGGGATGTTCATCCCGCTCACCACTGCTCAATTCAGTGGCCGTGTTCCGGCGCGCATGCACTTTGCTTTCATATTTCCTTATTTTTCGTGGCCTCCTATCTAATACGATTGTCTGCCGACGCGCCGTCTAGGCACGGTTTCTTCCAGTCCAGTCCAGTCCAGAATCACGTTGAAGTCTGCCCGCGAGCCATCCTGACACCAGCCTGACCAGTTGTTGGATTTACCTCAGCCGTGGTGGCATTGCTGCCACGAAGGGCCTACGTGGAAGATAAAACCAGCTACGAGGACGACGCAAGACGGGCGGACGCCGATCTGGCCTCCATGAAAGCTGCCGAAGTAGGCGCCGATGCTGCAGTAGGCGCGCATCTTCGCTTCCTGTGTCTTCTCCTCCTGCGCGCTTGAAGCAGATGCTCGAAGCCCCTTCCTGCGGGGGCTCACTGACACTCACCATCTCGGTGGGTCCCTTCGATGAGCTTCCCTGGCACACGTCCGTCGGAGCAGCCCTCTTGGCCAGGAGTGGTGGCCCATTCGCCCTGGCCCAGGCCCCCAAGTCAGGTCGGGCGCCCCCTGCAAGCGAGTTTTCGGCGTGCCAGCCGCGGAAATCGGCGGCGCACCTCACCTGGGCACCCGGGCACCCGGGCACCCGGGCACCCGGGCAACCAGGCACCCGGGCGTGCCGCCGAAATCGGCGGCGCACCCATACGGATGCGCTAGAACTCCTACGGAATCAGCATCAGCATCAACATCACCATAAGCATCATCAATATCATCATCATCGTCGTAGTCATCGTCGTCATCATCATCAGCATCATCTACAGCATCATCATCATCATCATCATCATCATCATCATCATCATCATCATCAGCATCAGCATCAACATCATCATCATCATCATCATCATCATCATCATCATCATCATCATCATCATCATCATCATCATCATCATCATCATCATCATCATCATCATCACATCCACCATCGTCGTCAACACCGTCACCATCATCATTACCGTCATCGTCACCGTCACGCATTTTTGTCTGCATCATCATCATACTCCGCCTCGCCCTCGTCCTCCCACCTCTCTCTTCATGTTCCTTCCTTCTTCCTTTCCTCTTCCTCCACTTGTTCCTCCGCATCATCCTCGTCCTCCTTCTCCAATGGCAGGCTTCGCAATTGTACTCCTGGGTATGCTCAGGCTGATTCCAAGCTTGGGTTTAACGGCTGACGGACCTGTCTGTTCCACTGGATGCTCCTACAGTTTCTTGATCAGGGGAACTATCCTGGCAATCGTTTGTGGATGGGCTGTTGAGGAGATGCGAAGCGTCCAGAACTGCGAGGAGGTATCAAGCGAAACTCCTGGCCAGGCCTACGGACACGTCCGGTGGTGCGACGACGACGAGCTGCCTATGGGGGCGAGGGACGGAGATGATGCGGGACAGGAGGGAGGATGAGGGAGGACGGGGAGAAAAAAGGAGCAGGAGGAGGAGAAGGGGGAGGAGGAGGAGGAGGAGGAGGAGGAGGAGGAGGAGGAGGAGGAGGAGGAGGAGGAGGAGGAGGAGGAGGCGGAGGAGGGAGGAGGAGGAGGAGGGAGGAGGAGGAGGCGGAGGAGGAGGAGGAGGCGGAGGAGGAGGAGGAGGAGGAGGAGGAGGAGGCGGAGGCGGAGGCGGAGGCGGAGGAGGAGGCGGGGCCGGGGCCGACCGCCCCCCCCCCCCCCGCCGACCCCCCGCTGGAGCTCCGGGCACGAGCCTCGGGGCAGCGGCCGCGGACTCGAGAGCTGGAGGCTGCCCTTTCGGGGCTGGTGGCAGAGAGCGCCCAGCAGGTCTCCGCGTCTCCGCGGCTCGCGGCCCTCCCCTTCCGTCCTCCCCCTCCTCCTCCTCCTCTCCTCCCTCCTCCTCCTCCTCCTCTCCTCCTCCTCCTCCTCCCCTCTCCCCTCCCCCTCCCTCTCTTCCGTCCTCCTCCACCGGCGGCGGCGGGCCCCCCGCGCGCCGCGGAGATCGGCGTGGTCGGGCGCCGGCAGACACCTCCGCCGCGTCATCCCAGCCTGGGCCGCTGCCAGCCGCCAGTCGACTCCTCCTCGTCCTCGTCCTCGTCCTCGTCCCTCCTCCTCCTCCTCTCCTCCTCCTCCTCCTCCTCCTCCTCCTCCTCCTCCTCCTCCTCCTCCTCCTCCTCCTCCCTGCCCTTGGAGGACGCCATTAGAATACAACACTTCCGCCTCCTCCTCCTCCTCCTCCTCCTCCTCCTCCTCCTCATCTTGCTCGTCTTCTGGCACTTCTGGTGGGCAGCCTCGTCATCACGGCTGGACACTGCATCCAGAAGATTACCCCTGGAGGGGCCGAGGATCGGTTTGGACCAAGATTTGACACCCACACCGGTGCTGACCAGGACCATCCTGGGCCCAGGGCCGTCGCACACGCCTCCCTAGCGTGTCCAGGAGGGCGAATACGTACATCAACACAGGCCCAAGACTAGTCCTGGCTGGGCCCGCTGTAGATGGGTGTATCCGCCACCACACTGTAGGCACCTACGGCAGGTTGGTGCCGCGTCGTCGAGCGCAAAGGATCTCGACACCGCGTCGATCGTGTAACCTTGACTCGATGATCGCGGTCCCGATCGTTCGTGGTGAATTCTGTTGGGTCCGTTGGCGGTACCGCGTCCATCAGTGTTTCCGCGTCACAGCATTCAAACTTGAACGCCTTCGCTAGCGTCGCCAGCGCACCAGTGCCGCATGAGCATACCGTAGTGGAGTGTCCTCAGCTCTCTTCGAAGTATCTGCGCTGACTTGAAGATACGTGAGGGGTGCATTGCAAATGCTACTTGAATGGGCTATTGATTGTAAATGCTAGTGTGCTAAAGGTTAGCTGCGTTCTCTTCGAGTATGTTGTAAATGTTAATCCAAAGGGCCGAAGCCCCAAAGATCCGGGCGCGGCCCCGCGTGCTCAGTGCGCGTCACGCGACCTTGCCCAGGGCCAGAGTGCCCAGACGCCCAGACGGCGCGCGAGGGTCCCAAGATGGCCCAAAGATGGTCAAAGAGGGCCCCGAGACAGACGGCACAGTGTAGCCCTCCTGGGGACCCCCAAGTCGTCCTCGACCAGCTTCATATATACATATATATACACCTATAATACACATTACACGCACATATGTATACAACTTAGGCATACAAAAAAAACGCACACATGCATATACATATAGTTGCAGGCATCTGTACATATATATATATATACATATATATATGTATATGCGTGTGTCCATATTGTGTTGAATGATCTTCTCCTTCTCGCCTTGCCGGTCTCCCAACAACCCGTGGCAGCCCAAGAGGCCCCGAGATTGCACCAAGACGGCGGAGGGCCCCGAAACAGCACAGGAAGTCCCGAAGGCAGCCCAAGATACCTCCAAGACGGCCCAAGAAGCCATCAAGAGGGCCCCCGCAGGAGAACTGGAACTTAGTTGGGGAACCTTTCTCATCTGCGCTGACCGTAAGACGCACCCAAGAGACTCTCAATAATCTCCCATTGGCGCCTAAGAGGCCCCGCGAGACCTGCAGGGCCGAAGGCAACTGGATCCGCCGACTCCGTGTGCCTGCAGAGGTGTGCTTCGCGTGCAAGTTTTCGAATTCGTGTTGGACCGTCGCAAACGTTCCCTGTGGGGTCTCGACGCCTCCCGCCGACCACCCCGAGTCGCTCGTAAAAGACATCTTCCGTCCCCGTTCCCGCCGAAGACAAGTCCAGGCTGGTCCAAGATGGCCTCGGAGACAGTCCCCAGGGGCTTCCAAGACGGCCAAGCTGGCGCCCAGCAGCTCTCAGATGGCCCCAAGCTCGCCCAAGACGGGCCCAGAGGTTCGGCCACGTGAGGCTCCCAAGACGGCGTCTAAATGCCAAGAGGCTTCAAGAGGCGCCCACACGGCCCCAGGAGGCCCCAAAGATGCCCCCCCCAGGAAGACCCCAGGAAGCGCCTAAGGGGCCTCATCTTACCAGTCCTCGTCATCGTCCACGTCCTCGTCGCCCTCCTCCTCGTCCTCCTCCTCCTCCTCCTCCTCCTCCTCCTCCTCCTCCTCCTCTTCCTCCCCCTACTGCTCCTCCTCCTCGTAATCAGCAGCAGCAGCAGCATCGTCATCCTCATTATCATCGCCATTGTCAGCGTCATCATCATCATCATCATCATCATCATCATCATCCTCATCATCATCACCATCACCATCATCATCATCATCATCATCATCATCATCATCATCATCATCATCATCATCATCATCCTCATCCTCATCCTCATCCTCATCCTCATCATCATCATCATCAGCATCAGCATCAGCATCATCAACATCAGCATCAACATCATCATCATCACCATCATCATCATCATCATCCTCATCATCATCAGCATCGGCAGCATCATCATCGTCATCATCATCAACAACAAAAACAGCACCATCACAACATATAGAAGTCCCGTACATCTTGATCACAAGCATCACCATCATCACCACCACCGTCACACTCACAGTCACCATCATCGTCATCGCCGTACTCATCATCACCATCATCACCACCACCATCAGTATCATCATTATCGTCATCATCATCATCATCATCGTAATCATCATCATCATCGCCAACATCACCAGAATAATCACCACATCATCATCATAATCATCATCAGCAACAGCATTATCATCACCACATTATCATCACATCAACAAATCAGCCTATGCAACATCATCAACAGCAGCAGCATGACCACCATCGTCATCAGCCGCAGCAGTAGCGTCGTCATCACAGCAACCACCATCATCATCGTCGTCGTCATCGTCGTCGTCATCATCATCATCATCATCAGCAGCAGCAGCATCAGCGTCAGCATCAGCATCGTCGTCATCGCCAGCAGCATCAGCATCAGCAGCATCATCATCATCACCATCATCCTCATCATCCTCACAATCATCATCAGCATCATCAGTCATCAGCATCATCAGCATAATCAGCAGCATGAGCATCATCATCATCATCAGCATCATCATCATCACAATCATCACCATCTTCATTATCATCACCATCATCATCACCATCATCATCATCGGCATCGTCATAATCGTCATCACAATCACGATCACAAGCATCATCAGAATCAGCATACGCAGCATCAACATCATTATCATCCATCGCCATCACAATCATCGCCTTCATCACCATCACCATCGCATTCATCAACAGCATCAGCAGGAACAACAGCAACAGCTGTATCATCATGAGCATCTTCATAATCAGCATCAGGAGCGGCAGCACCATCATCCTCGTCATCATCGTCCTCCTCATGCGCCTCCTCATCCTCGTCATCATCCTCATCATCATGATCATGATGATGATCAGCATCATCGTCATCAGCATCAATATCCTTGTCATCCTCATGATCACCAGCATCATCACCATCATCATCAGATCTTCCTCTCCGTAACGTTCCCCCCAGAGTTCTGGCATGGCTGTGAGAACACACAGCCCAATCGATTGACAAGACTTCGGCTCCAAGTTGGGCCACATAGGCGCCTCCTGAAAGCAACGGGCGGCGGTGGTTCGCTGTACGCGGAATCCCCCGACGCCCCCAAGACAAACCGCGCCCAAACGCGGCGGCGCTCCTGCGCTTGTCGTCGTAATTCGCCATCGCGTGGGAGCCCAAGGGCAGCGTCACCTATCGCAGCGCAGAGAGGTGACGGTCGGGAAGGGCTGAGAGAGCATGGAGGCCGCACCACGTATGTGCGGGCGGAGGCGGGCGGCAAGTCCAACGTGATGTTTAAGTATGGTCATGGGAGGTTCTGCGCACCCAGGTGCAACATCCAGGCAAAGTCATAAGAGGAGGGGGAGGTAGGACACTAGACAGCGATTATCTGATCGGAAGCAGCCTGCGGCGGGGATACCGACAAGGCTCTGTGGCCGAACGGACGCAAATACAACCAAACCACGCGGATAACATGTCCAGACACACAGAACATGAATGCCGAACCGCCCATGAGTGCCGAAGCCAGCCGAGTGCTCGTCCATCTCGGGGAAGCCAGTCGCGAGCTTCGATTAACACCATGCGAAATAATCGGCCAGCTATCCAGTCTGGTCGCGCCGCAATCGAATAGTCGTGGAAGCCCAACGCTGCGCACACGCATGCCGATGCACAACATGCGGTGGACCCTGCAACCCACCAGACCGTGGGGCGAGTGGACAATCGCGGCGTCAACGCCCCCGTGCCCTCCACAATAAGCCCATCGGATTCCGCGGAGAGACCACTGCGTCCTGCCCCGCCGCCCCGGCCAAAAGCCAGAGGGAGGGGGGGGTCCGTCAGCGTGGCAGTGCGGGCCGCCGCAACTCTTATTCGGACCACGGGGCGGGCCGACAAAGAAAAGCGGGCCAAGAAAGGAACAGGAACGGGCCGGAGAGCGAGGAGCCGAGGAGCGAGAGGGGGAGAGGGAGGGGGGACGACCGGAAAGGGCAGAACGAGAGAGGGAGAGGGAGAGGGAGAGCGAGCGAGGAGCCGAGGAGCGAGAGGGGGGAGACCACTGCAACCCTCCACAGCACGTGGCCATCGGGGGCACCGCCCCAGCCCCCCGTCCCCAGGGCACCCAACCGAGCGGCCCGAGCGCGACGGCGGATGCGGGGCCGCGAGGGGGAGGGCCTGATGTGAGCATGCATGCGCGTGTGCACCTGTACTCGGCAACGCGCAGAGGGGGGTAGGGGGAGGGGGGAAGGCTTCTTAGAAACACCCCTGCTTCTTAGAAGGCGCGGGCCTTCTCTATAGACGTAAGGCCGAGGCCTTCTAAGAAGCAGGGTGCTGCTAAGAAGCCTTCCCCCCTCCCCCTACCCCCTTTTGCGCGCCGCCAATGTACGCGCGCTTGTAGATTCTGACCGCCCCGCCCATCTGCGCACACACACGCTTGCTCTGTGAACGGAGGTGAACGGCCGAGGGGTCGAACCCACCGCATGGTCCGTTGGTAGAGGACAGGGAGGGGAAGAGAAGGCGTCAGTTTCCCTCCGGGCCCGACGGAGGTCGGGCGCAACGTTTGATCCGATACCTGAGCCGAGAGAGAAGCAGGTTAGATGGATAGAAGGAGGAGAGGAGCGGTCTTCACACTCATGCTCGTGACGCTCTACCGTGCCGCGGGCCCCGTGACCGAAGGCGAGTCCCGAGGGCCAGGCCGCGTAACGGCGGCGACGCGCGAGGTCGCACCTCCCTCACCAGCAGGGTCTCGAGCGCCTTCAGCGGCGTCAGGTCTTGGCACGGCGGCGAGACCTGGCGCAACGGGTCCGCCGACCCAGAGCCGCTCTGGCCTCCCCAGAGACCAGGTACGAGTACAGGAGGGACCAGTCCACAAGAAACCTTCCACAAGGAACCCAACCCTGAGACCCCAGGACGTCCATTGATTTTGGGTGTGGGAGCATCACGATTTCCATCGCAAAACCCAAGAAACCCAGGGCACCCCTGGAGGCAAGCAGGTTCTTCTTGACATGGGCCTCCACTGTAGGAATGGAGGGAGGGGATGGGCGAGAAGGAACTACCGTAGGAGGGAGGGTAGGATGCAAAGTTGCGAGAGAGCGTGATCCACCGCCGCTTTACTGTGGAAAATTGCCAACCTTTTCCTCCGGAACCCGGGGGTCTCCCCTCCCCCCCCTTCGAAAATCCACCCCCCCCCCTGCTGGAACCCCCCCCCCCCCCCCCTTCCTCCCCGGCAAACCCCCCCTCCCCTAACCCCTCCCCCCCCCCTCCCCCTCGAAAACCGGGGGGGGTCACCCCTCCCCCCCCCCCCCCCGGATCCGGAAAACCGGGGGGGGTCACTACCGGTTGGACCCCCCCCCCCTCGAAAACCGGAGGGGGGTCACTACCGGTTCGACCCCCCCCCCCCCCCCACGCACCGCCAGCAAACGACTCCCAGTCCCTACCAGCGCTCGCATCACATCCCCCACTGTTGTTCCCAGCACCAGTCCTCACCACCACTGTCCCCACTGGTTCCACTACCGTCCCTATTGTCCCCACCAGTGCCCCCACCACTGTCGCATTGTCCCCGCTGTTCCCACCACTGTTCCCACCACGGTTCCACTCTCCCCACTGTCTCCACGGACCCAACCACTGCCCATCCCCACGGTCCCCACTGTCCCACTGACTCCTCCGCTGTCCCACTGAAAATCCAACTGTTCCCACCACTGTCCGCACTGTCCCCACCACTGTCCCCACTGTACCTCTGTCCCATTGTCCCACCGCCGTCCTCGCCACCGCCTTTACCACTGTCCCCACCACCATTGTACCCTCCACTGTCCCACTGTTTCCACCTCATTCCCACTGTCCCCACACCACTGTCCCCACCACCACCGTCCCCACCACTGTCCACTGTCCCCCCTGTGCCCACCATTGTCCCCACCACTGTCCCCACCACTACCGTCCCCACCACTGTCCCACTGTCCCACTGTCCCCACCACTGTCCCGCTGTCCCCTCACCACTGTCCCCACCAACACCGTCCCCACCACTGTCCGCACCCCCACTCGGTTTTCGAGGGGGGGGGGGGGGGTTCGAACCGGTAGTGACCCCCCCCCCCCCTTTCATGATGAACTGGGGGGGGGGGGGGGGGGGGGAGGGGTTCGAACCGGTAGTGACCCCCCCCGGTTTTCCGGAGGGGAGGGGGGGGGGGAGGGGTTCGAACCGGTAGTGACCCCCCTCGGTTTTCCGCCAGCAGCGGTAGAACACGCTCTTTCAAAGTTGCAGGTCGCACAAGAGTGGGCGAATGTTGCTCACGTCGTCCCTGAATCTCGAATCGACGTCGTTGGCTGCGCATTGGAAACGTTGGTGATTGGCAATGGTGCATTTGAAATGAACTGGTACGTGCTCGCCCGCCCCGTGGGACGGCTGCAAACAGCCAGGGCCAAACGTACAGTCTTCCACTCGAAGTCGCGGACGCGTACTTCACCTCGCGTGGCCCAAATCCCGAAGCCCCACGTTGCATTTGTGTGCGTGTATGCTTCGGACAACGAACACACCGTTGCTTTAACAAAAACGCTACTTCAGCGGTACACCCGTACTAGCAGTGGCTCTGGTGGCGTGTCGCCTCGAGAGCGCGTCAAGCGTTCGCCCGTGATCGTCGCCCGCAGCCGAAAACAACCGCGGGCCGCACCCATCGAATCCTCGAGAGGCCGACGCGGCCGGCAGAGTAAATCCTAGACTTCCGACGCCATGCCGACGTTGCTGCTGTACTCGGAAACAGCTCATGGGCCCCAAGATCATCAGAAGACGGCCTGCGGAGAAACACGGATCTCGGGCTACTGTGGTCGAGACCGCTGGGCACCCGCAGGGAGGGACAATTGGCCCTGCGAAAGACCCGACCCACAGCACCCACGAGCAGCACAAGATATGGCCCTCCCCATCATGGGCCACACGCCGCGGCAAGGGAAAACTCCGTGTGGGTCAGCGAAACGCGTGAGGGGTGTGCCGAAGTTGCTGGACCGCATGGGACACACGGAAAACCAATCCACAAGAAACCTTCGACAAGAAACCCAACCCTGAAACACCAAGACGTCCATGGACTCTTGGCGTGGGAACGCCACGTTTTCCGTGGCAAAACCGTCGGAACCAAAAAAACCCAGGGCACCCTGGAACCAAGCAGAACCTTTATCGGCATGGGTCTCCACTGTACCGTGCCACTGAAACCTTTGGTGGAACTCCCGACGGGGCCACGACACGCGCGATGGGTGTGTCAAAACCGGCGGGGGGCCGCACGCGATACCCTGCCATATGAGGCCTGCAGAAAAGTTTGTTCCGCGGGACCGCGAAACGCATGATGGGGGGGGGCGACATGGGCGGGGGGGGCCGCACGCAACCCCTTGCCGCAAAAGGCCTTCGGCGGAGCTCCCCATAAGGCCACGGAGCGTGGGAGAGAGGAGGCGACAAACGAGAACGACTGCACGTATGACGATGATGGTGCTGCTGATGATGATGGCGATGGTGGCCATGGCGATGGTGATGCTAATCGTGGTGGTGCCAGTGACGGTGACGATGGTGATGGTGATCGTGCTGGTGATGATGGTGATGATGCTGGTAGCGACGGCGGCGATGATGACTTGTTCTTAAACGTCAGGACCGAGCACAAGAACAGACTTCGTTATACCACCCCGCAGCATTTTTTGTTTTAAAGATCGCCGCGGAGAGACCAAGGCTTCCAGTTATCTCATGGGGGGGGGCCACGCTATAGGGGTGCTGGCACGGAGAGCTCACCAGTGTGCGCCATGCAGCGAACAGGGGTCGAGGCCATGATTGGCACCGCAATGAGCAGCTTGTGAGCTCAGGTCTGGGCGTGACTGAAAATTGTTGTTTGGTTTTTCGTTGTCGAAAAACTGGGGAATTGTGCGGAGCGCGTGGAACTGGCCAGGCTTGAGTGTGCTCAGTGGAACTCGCGACCGTCGTCGAGGTCGCGGATGTGCTCGATCGCCAGCGCATTGGCAGCCATCAGCGTGCCGACCTGCCCCCATCAAGGATGAGTGGCGGTGGCGTCGTGCGCGCGCTCAGCGGCCATGCACATGATCACCTCGATGATGCCGCGCGGCAGTTCATCTCGAGAGCAAGAAACTGGTAGCGGCGCCGTGAATGACAGTGAAGTCGTCGATGGAGTCAGTCATGAAATGAGCATCCGTACCAACGCTGCAGGCGCCGTTGGTCTCGCGCTCTTGCGGGCGTGTTCTCGCCCGTTGATGCCCAGGTGTGGTAGCGCATCAACTCCTCGTCGTTGGCGCGGCGGGTGGAGCCCTCGCGCGTGCCTAGCTCGAGGCAAATGCCAAAATGCCTCCAGAACTTCAGGCGTTCGTCGTTCGGCCCAGCCACCCCGGCGCGGATCTCCAGGCACTTCCTGGCAATGCGTTTCTTGATCACGCGCAAGACCTCGTCTTGAAGCAGAGCCCCGCGGTAGATGCCTGGCGGCGGGTCCGCGGAATCCACCGCGCCCGCGATGGAGTTGAGCTACGCGGGAGTGAGGTCGTCGAAGCTGTCTAGCGCAAGGCTGAGCCGCACGTAGAGCCCGATGTTGCTGTGCTTCTTCTCGGCCACGAGCACGTCGGACGAAGCCCGTCGAAGGGCGAGCGTCGGCAAACGGGATTCGACTCGCCCTCGATGCAGAAGCGCTTCACGGCAAGGTAGCCCTCCCAGTCGTTAGAGCGGAGCAGAGCAAGCCGATCGGCTGCTCGGCCCTGCGCAGCGCACGGGTGAGCAATCAACCGACCAGCCAGGCAAAGCAGCATCACACATGAACAGATTTGGGAAATTCTGGACATGCATGCGCCCTCAACTCAGAGAAGGAGCGGAGGGGGGAGGACAGGAAGGATGGGGGGAAGGGGGGAAGAGGAAGGAGGGGCATCGCAACTGCGTCACGCAGGACTCGACGCACTGCTACTCCCTGCTCGGCGCCGACAGTGCCGGCTCCGGAGAACACGCGGTGACGCACGAGCACTATCCGCTGACGTCGCCACCCCATTGCAGCGGCGGTCTGCCTCGCGCCCGCATGCGAACCGAACGGGCGCCGATTCCCAACGTCTCACAGAAGAGCCGGCGAGCCAGCCGCCACTTTGAGGAGAGCACCCTTGCCGCCATGTCCAAGGGGGCCTCCGCGGACGGCATGTTTGAGACGCGCACGTGCACCCCGCGCATCGCACCCTGCCAGCCCAACCCCTCCACCCCACAGCCAGCCACATGCCCGTGCATCTTTGCACGCGCCCCCCAAAGCATGGCGCGGCGCTGCGGCGTGAGCGCCGCGCCGACAAAACCGCGACCGAGGACCGACAAAAATGCGGAGTTGAGGAGCTCGACGCGGTGACCAGCGCCGACGCGCTGGCTCGTGAGCCCGTTTCTTCTGAAATTGGCGCCATGCTGCCGACGTCGTCCTCGGCGGCATCTGATGCCCCGCCCTCTGACAGATTGAAGGCGCCCCAAAAATACCTGCCCGGGGCCCCTCTGGGGATAGCGCGCGACTCGATGTTGCAAGCGCTGGGCAACGCGCCAACGGCACTCCACCGGCTGAACGCCATTTCCACGACTGCGACGGACACGCGCGGGCTCAAGACGCCCCCCTGGCGAACGCCCCCCCGGAAGAGCTGAAAGACAGCGCCCGCGCCCACTTGGCCCGCGTGCGCCCAGCACAGCCCATGCAACAAGCAAGCGGGCGCCTCGCCCACGCCCTGCCGCAAGATGGCCTCGATGGCCGATTCGCGATAGAAGTTGTCGATCGCCTCGGCGGGGCCTCAGCTCACATCCCAAGGAT